TTTAGGACCTTTCATATTTCAGAATAAAGGCTGAATAGGATTTATAAAAAAGTTTAGGGTTTTTTAACTGCGCATTCTAATGCAATCCTAGTTTTCTAAAGTAGAAAAGAAATAGACCATTAATTATGTGAGTGTATTTCACCCTAATGCCCTTTAAGCTAATTACTCTCTTTAACAATGATACTTGGGAAAACTCAATGGACTAATTGATTCAATTAAAGTATGACTCCTCCCCCTTATTGTTTGTTTCAAACTTTCAAGGTCTCACCTACCTCTGCATCCTGTAGGTCATGTTTTATGAAGGACTGAAAGATTTGACGGAGCATGGGAAGCAGCAGTGGATTCCCAACTCAGCTTATCGTGTTAATAGCACCATAGAAGGACTCGTATTAGGAGGATTAGCTGGTGGTATGTGCCTTTTGCTTCACTCAAGATTCTGTTTTTGTAAGTTTTTAATGGTTGTAAAGGTAGATTTCATCTGAGTGGTGGTTAATGGTTTTCTTGAACTGTAAAGGAATAAGTGCATACTTGACCACTCCCTTGGATGTTGTTAAAACAAGATTACAAGTGCAGGGATCATCCATAAGGTATAAATTTCTCTTACTGTTTAGGAAACTGCCGTCAAAATAAGCCTTATTTTACTACAAGTAACTCATGATCATTATTTTCCATGTGTTTCTTTGTTATTCTTGAGATACTCGCCGCTCTATCTTTGTCTTGCTCTGTTGCCGAACCAAATTTTTATCCACCCTTAAGTGTCAACCCAAGTGGACTTGTGGTTTGCATAATGTCTCTCTCGCTGATGCAGGCATCCACTCTATTCTTGCATGAGGCTATCTCTACAACTTCCATAAATCTAATTTTTTAAAAAATATTACTGCTATGTCTTAGGTACAAGGGCTGGTTAGATACTATTTGTAAAATCTGGATGGATGAAGGTGCCAAGGGATTTTTCAGAGGAAGCATTCCCAGGGTTACATGGTATATACCGGCCTCTGCTCTCACTTTCATGGCTGTTGAATTTCTAAGAGACCATTTTAACGAAGAGAAAAAGAAAGAAGAAGTAGCAAGTTTTTCTATAGAGAAAAAGGGAGCTTCTATACAGGAGGTTGTTTAGCAACGAGCTAATTTCGATAGGGAGACGACTGCTGTAGTACCACAACCAAATATCTCATGTCCGTAATCACAACCCTCGATTGATGAAGCTGGTCGTGGACACATAGGGAAACTGACAAAAGATGAGCTTAGGGTGATAAAGAGATGGAATTTTGTTTCGTGATAGGGAGTAAATAATAGAATTGTTCTGCACTTCTTTTTTTCTACATTGAAATAAAAGCTTTCACTGTTTTCTTTGAGAAAATACTCTTTGGGGAAGAAGAGTTGGTGGTGTTTCTTCCTCCAGTTCTCTTTTTGTTGGAATACCATTTATTTTTGTTCCATATAATTTTACCTTAAATTTTATGTTAATTTAGTCCTATATTTCTCGTAGTCAAAAAAAAATATGCAGTACTTGTTACAGACTTGCAATAAGCCCAAAGTCTGCTTAAATATCCTAGTCATGCTGACGTAAATAATTAAACTATCTATATAAAGCTAAAATTTTAAATAAAAAAAAAATCAAATCTATTAAATAATTAATTTTTATTTATAATTAAGTGACGCTGACGAAAATAATTAAACTATCTGTATAAGGCTAAAATTTTAAAAAAAAAATTCAAATATATTAAATAATTAATTTTTATTTATAATTAAGTCATGCTGACGTAAGCGCACTTAAGAAATCTTCCCTATTTCCTTTTCCTTTTCGGATTCGGATTCGGTTTCGGTTTTTACCATCGCTATAAAATTGCCGCCAAACCTCCCTCCTCTTTATCTGAAGCTTTGCCCATTGCAAAGTATCCAACAAAGAAGAAGAAAAGCAACCCTAGATGGCAACGAAGAAGCAATGTCTGTGCGATGAGTTTGGGAAGTTTAATCAGAAAGAAGATGAGTTGAACGAGAGATTGATAGATGAACCAGAGATTGGAGATGACAGAGAAGATAGAGTTGATCAGAGGAGTGATGATGATGATGATGATGAATCGAGTGTCGTGAAGGGGATTGAATCCAAACATAAGAGTGAGAAGAAGAACATGAATTCAGAGAAAGATGAAGTTGAAGTTTTGCAGACACAAGAACTTTGGATTGAGGATGCGACCGAAGAAGCCGATTCCTCCGATTCTTTCTCACTTTTATGATGTGCTCTTTTCAATATTTTAATCCTCTCACTACAATTCTTTTGACACTTGAACATCGTAGATATATGCATCAAGTTAAATAAATATAAAGCCAGAGAAAGCGCTGGGACTTACTTGATATCCAGACCTCATCTGACAGCATTGTCATGGTTGGAGCAAACTTGCAAAACATTGTCACATAAGGACTTTGCAGAAGTATTGTGCTACTTGTGTAGATTATGGTTTTAAGAGGAATGAATTTGTGGGGACAAGACAATAATTTGCAGAGCACACTTCCATCTACTTAACGAATAAATTTTTTAAGTGAATGGGGAGACAAGGAAAATCAGATACAAAGAATACCACCAATACAAACAGAGACTCGTACAATATCCCGAGAATTTATAAGTATGGCAGATTCCAATTCTTTCTCACTTTTATTGTAACGGGTACAAACTGATCATTTTGTAGTTAAAAATTTAAAATTTATTATGTAGTTAAACATTATATTACATAAACCACCAATACGAACAGAGACTCGTACAATGTCCTGAGAACTTAAAGTATGGCAGATTCTAATTTTTTTCTCGCTTTTATTATAACGGGTACAAATTGATCATTTTGTAGTTAAAATTTTAAATTTTACTATGTAGCTAAACATTATATTACATAGACCACCATGTATTAGAATTAATCTTGATCTAAAATTAAAAATAAAATATTAATTCATTTGAAGATATGTGTAGTAGGAAATTATGAGAAAATTTTAAAATAGAGAAGAAAATAAAAATAAAATATTTAAATTTACATACAATAACTTTTAATTTTTTTTAATATAAATTATGTGATTTTTGTGTTATATTAAATAAAAAAATAATAAAAATATAATTATAATGGTCATTATAAATAAAATTAATAAATTATTTTTTAAGATACACATAAGATTTGTTTATTTAAATTATTTTTTTTATTAATAACAAAATTTATTACATAAGATTTTTTTAAAAAAATTCAACACCCATTACCCTTATGCAAGTACTAATAATTTAAATATTATTAATTACTATATGTTGAGGCACCTGGCTCAAACATTCAACTCATATATAATATATACATATATAATATAATTTATTGTATTCTCTCCTATTCCCTCAAATATAGATACTGCAGATGATTGATAGGTCGGTCCTTACGATTACTTATAAAATTAACGTGAATAATAATTCAATTAAACATATATATATATATATATATACACACACACACACACACACAGACATATACATATACATATTAATTAATGCTAGAAGGGTACACTAACACGTCACATGCCCCTTTAAATGAATGTTGGGGTAATCTTAGTGAATAAACAACAATTTAAAAACGTTGAATTATTGCAGCAATTTGTGGCTTCAGATTACTTGGGAGCCACTTTACGGTATCTATATAATATGGTTTTATTTGGTCAACATACATTTCACTATATAATAA